GTCTTGCCCGCTGCCGCCTGCCTTCAGTATGTAAATTAGCCGCTATCTTGTTGCTTCAGGGTGGGGGTCCCCACTGGGGTGCCTGGCTAGTCTGGGTGAGGGGCTGAGGGCCGTTTTCAGGATTGTGGGTGACTGAAGCTCCCAACCTCTCCTTTTTTTCTTTTTCCTTTTTTATTCTGGGATTTATTTACCTTCTATGGCTGTCACTGGAGCTGAGAGCCGGTTTTAGCTCTGAGGCCCGGCTGCAGCTCTGAGACCTCAACTGCTGAAAGCAGGGATCTGGGTCTGTTTGGGTTCTATAATTGTAACACTGTTGCAGTCCTGCTAGCTCCAGCTCTGAAGGCTGAAAGCAGGTTTCTGGGGATAGTTTTGCTTCTATAATTGCAACATAGTTGCTTAGAGTATAAGCTGAGAGCCCAGCAGTGGCAGGCGGGGAACCTTGGCTTCCTCCTTCACTGGAGCAAGCAAGCCTCCTGTTCGCTTCAGCTGCCTGGCTGCCTGCCACCATCTTGGTTGGCAGTTAATTTGCATATCGCCCTGATTAGCCAATGGGAAGCGTGTCGGAAGTATGGTTAATTACCATGTTTGTCTATTATTAGATAGGATATGTAGGCAGTTAAATAGGCACGGAAAGAGCTGGAATGAGAGGCCGGGAAGACACAGGTGCCTAGCAAAGGGCAAAACTACCAGTCCTTTCAGGACCACTCCCTTATATATTAACCCTCAGAGTAATATCTGGTTTCAGCTTTGTTTCAGCTCTATGTCCGGAAAAGCAGAAAAATCAGATGGAGCAACAGCAGGCTGACATCAGGACCAGCTGCATTGACTAGTGACCCCCTGCCCAGCACCAGCTCATCAGTAGACACCATGGCCCTGAGGAGACACACCTGGAAAGCTGATGCATATGCTATTGAGATCATCCCCTGAGACCTTGTGTGGTATGTGAGAACATGGGCCCCTTTCCAAGCTTCAACACCCCCTCTGACCCTGTGGGAATATAATGAAGGCCATCTGTAAGTTGACTGTGGGACCTTGGGAGCCTGGCCAGCTCCCAGTCAATGCACGACCTAAAAGAAACTGTTACTGGATATGAGCCTGGATTGTAAACATTATTACCCTGTTTTCTTTGTTTTCTGTACTTTATATAACCCTGTACTAAAACGCCTGTGCTCTGAGACTTCCCTGGCAGCCCGTCCTGGGTGTGCAGTGAGTCCTAATAAACTCATGTTTTTCGCAGCCAGGCCTCTGAGTTGTTTCTTTGGAACCGGCAAGCAATACTCTGAGGCCTTCTTGGCCCTCAGTTCTTTGCATAACAGATCTCCAGATAAAAACACTGGGAACAGAGAGCCCAGTGGCTCTCTCCATGAAGCACACTGGTTCCTCTCCCAGCCCCCACCGCTTTCTCCCCTTTCCCCCAGGCAGGGTTTCCTGGCCTCTCTCTCCCTTAAGCTCCAAGGGCCCTTCTTTAGACTCTGTAACTTTTTTTCTGAGCCCATTTCTTCTAGGTTCACTTCTTCTACCTCTATGACTGTCTAAATAAGTTTCCTCTTATAGTTTGAGTCTTGCCTCTGAATCCTGTCTTAGCCAGCACTCAAGTACCAAGTTTGCTGAATGGAGATCCAATCTGACTCCACTAGTTTAACACCTGGTGCCATTTTTGCAAACCATAATTAGTGTTTTCCAGGTCTAAGAAATAGTTGTCTATTCCAGATTGTGAACATCATCTCCTATTTTTTTTTTTTTTCTACAAACTTTGTTATTTTAGTGTTCACATTTAATTTCGGGGTAGGTGTCAAGGTTAATTTTTAAAAAATTATTTTTATTTAAAAAAAAATTTCTCCATGTTGTTGTGTGTATCACGAATTTATTCCCTTTAATTATTTTTATTGATTTCAGAGAGGAAGCAAGAGGGAGAGAGAAACATTAGTGATAAGAATCAATGATCACCTGCCTCCTGCACGCCCCCTACTGGGGATCGAGCCCACAACCAGGCGTATGCCCTTCACCAGAATCTAACCCGGGACTCTTCAGTTCACAGGCTCTATCCACTGAGCCAAACTGGCTAGGGCTAGCACCATTTCTTGAAAAGAATATACTTTTAAAATAAATGATGTTGTGATAACTGGACAGCCATATGAAAAGAGAGAAAATTTCATTAATTAAAAAAAACGGTACAAAGGGAGATTTAGTCTCATGAGGCCCTCGATTAAAATTAAAATTCTGACTTCCAGAATTCTTTTTGACTAAGCCAAAAATGTTTAACAGTGGCTTTATTAGGTAAATGCTTGAAAGTATTCAACAAGAATTTTAAGATAATCAGTTTGTTATTTGGAGATATAATTGACATATAACATTGTATAAATTTAAGATATACAATTCAATGATTTGATACACTTATATATGTGAAATGATTACCATAATTACTAAGGTTAGTTAACACATCTTTTATTTCACATAATTACCATTTTTTTGTTGTTATGGTGAGAACATTAAAACTGTAGTCTCATAGCAACTTTTAAGTGTATAATACCAGTATTAATAAATATAGTCCTTATGCTGTATATAAAATTCCCAAAACTTATTCATCTTATAACTAGAAGTTTCTACCCTTTGACCAACATCTCCCTTCTTACCCCTCAGTCCCTAGTAACCACCATTCCACTCTCTGTTTCTATGAATTTGGCTGTTTTTAGATTCTACATATATAAGTGAGATCATACAGTTTTTGTCTTTTTCTGTCTGACATATTTCATTTAGCATAGGGTCCTCAAGGTACATCCATGTTATCACACATTTCCTTCTTTTTTTATGGCTGAATAATACTCTATTGTATGTATATACCATATCTTCCTTATCCATTCATATGTCAATAGACACTTAGGTTATTATTTCCATGTCTTGGCTCTTGTTAATAATGCTGCAATTAACACTGGGATGCAGATATCTCTTTGAGAAAACAATTTCATTTCCTTTGGATGTATACCCAGCAGTGGGATTGCTAGGTCATATGGTAGCTCTATTGTTTTCCATAGTGGCTGCACCAATTTACATTCCCACCAAGAGCGCACAAGTGTTCTCCCCACCCCTGCCCGCCCTCCACGCCCCCATTTTTGACAGCACTTGTCATGTCTTTTCTTTTAGACAACAGCCTTTCTAACAGGGGTGAGGTGACATCTCATTGCGGTTTTGATTTACATTTCCCCTAATGATTAATGATGCTGAACATCTTTTCAAAGATAATAAATTTGTATTATTTAAGCAATATATACATACAGACAGACATAAAGTTCCCAGGAACATTAACTCCTAACTAATAAAACATGTTAAGGGTATCTATAAAATTAAAAAATATGCTGAAATGGTTTTGTGATTGTGTTAAGTATGTTTGTTTAAGAACTGTGAGAAAAGTCTTTCTTTGTGTTGTCCATTATGGTTATGCCATAGAGACTTCTTTTTTTTATCTAAACCAACAGTGCATAGCGAAGATGTGTAAGTACGCTCCCTAAGTCTTCTCTAGATTCATCTGCACACAGTTGTCTGTAAATCAGAAGCACCATCCCCTAGACATGCTGGATTTTGAAAGATCATCTGACTCCTTGTCTCTGTGCTCTGATACCAATAGGCCCATCCAAAAAAATACAAAGAGGGTTTGTTAAACCACAAACATTCCCACCACAGAACTTCTTAAAAAATTGATTTTAGAGTTGGAGAAGAGGAGGGGAGGGGTGTGTTAGAGAAAGTGAGAGAGGTTTATTGTTCCACTTATTTGTGCATTCATTGGCTGATTGATGTGTGTGCCCTGAACAGGGATCGAACCCTCAACCTTGGCATATCAGGATGATGTTCTAACCAATTGAGCTACCCACCAGGGCCCACCACAAAATTTTATAGCATTTGCCTCTGACCCTTCATCTTCTGTTCTACTCCCTTAGCTCATGGGGCGGGGTCATCTCTTCCTTAGCTCTTCTCTGTCCTGCCAGCCTGTGCTGAAGTTTGCCCAGTTGTGCAATTTGTCCACAGGACAGCACCCGACACTGGAACCTTTGTCCCTTATCAGTCCTTCGGGGGCTCCTGGGAGACAGCCATCTGCCCCACTGGGATGATTGGAGCACAGGCTGTGGAAGTGCAGTGGTTTTCAAGGTGTGCTTCCTAGAATATTGCTCCCTGGGGATTTTTTAGAAATGCAGATTCTCCAGTGCCACCAACGGCCTGCTGAGTCGGAAGCGCTGGGGTGGCACCGCAGTCTGTGTTTTGCTGAGCTCCCCAGGAGACTCTGACGCTGCAATCTGTGAAGCACTGCTTAGTGTGGCCTGCCCTCTCATCCTCACCCTCAGTTAAAAGCAATCTTAGGCCTCAGAGGGCAGGCTTCTAGGGCTGTTTGTATTTAATATTAAACTTTTCTTTCTATATAAGGTGATATAACAATCAAGGAGATGAGGATATTGGGACAAAGACAAAATAGCAATAAAGAAAATTAGATGAATCTGGGAGCTATGGCTACATAGGCAGCACCCAGGAACCTTTGCAGAAGAGGAAGGGAAAGAGAGTCAGGTGACTTATACTTAGAGCTGCCAAAGAAAGCACGATCACCTCAAATGTTCAGGGCATCACAAGATAACATCGAAGCACAGCTCTTTCTTGTATTGGGAACTGAGATTCCTTTCCTAGTCTTCATCTGGAGACTGTTGAGTGTGTAGCATCTTCCCCAATACCCATTGACAAGCTGCGGGGAGCCATTTCTTGCACCATTTCTTAATTTAGCTGATGCCATAAACCCCAATGCTTATGTAAATGCATTGCTTGGGGGATATTCTTGAGGAGTGTGTTTAAGACTTTCAGTCTAGGGTTTGCCTTTCCAATGATCTGACTTGTGAATTGCAGTGTGTTTAGATCTATTATTTTTCAATATTTTAAACATGCATCTTATCATCCAATAAATTCAATTTTAATTTCTAGGGGTTGATATTAAAATTGATACTTTATTTTCAAAATATAGATATGTGATTCTTAAAATCAAGCTTTCCCGTCCTCATCTCCATCTGGTGAGTCATACTCCGTTCCGAGGTTCCACCGTCCCGCCGTGGAGTATCACTGACCTGGAGACATGGAAGAAGGAGATGTGTTTCAAGAAACACTCCTGAAATGTTATGTATTGTAGCAGAGCTATTAGTAAGTGTGAACCCAAGGATTTTAGAGAGCAACCAGTCTAACTCCAGGGCAGCTCTGGACTTTAACGCTCAGCCAGACAGTGGAGCCGCCAAAATAGGGCACTCCAGGCAGGCCTCAGTGTCAAGGAGGGGGAGACCTGTGGGTGACAGAATCCTGGTTCTTGGCAAATGGAACCAGACGGATAGTGCGATGGAGCTACTCAAGATCTCAGCACTTTGGGTGCTTGTTTCTTTCCTCAAGCTCAGCAAGACGTCAGCTTATATTTTGGTGTGGCGGGCGGAGTGTATGCTCCTGCCGAGCTCAGCGGGTGGGAAGGCAGGGGACAGGCTTGTATCTGCAAACAAAACACTGGCGGTGCCCACCTCAGCAGCCGGTGGGAGGGGAGCACATGTCAGCTCCAAAGCGAGGTTCTCACTGTCCGGGTCAGCAGTGGAGGAGACAGGTGTGACGAGGTCAAGCAGCATAGGTTAGTCCAAAAGGCCAGCGAGAGGTGGGGCCGGCTGCTGGGCTGGCGTCGGCTTAGGCCAGTGATGGCGAACCTATGACACAAGTGTGTCAGAGGTGACGCGTGAACTCATTTTGGGTGACACGCATCGACAGAGACAAAAAATTGCATAATTCAAATATTTGTCTCCCGCAACGGCCAGAGTTGGGCATCACTCGAGTAATATTATTACACACGTTACTCATGATCAATAATGGAATTCTAAAACCGGATGTAAACATGTACATCGGTGTTGGTAGCAAAGATACATAGTGAAAACATCCAAGATACATTGTTCCAATATTGACATTAATATAAAAAGGTTAAGAATTGCACTATAAAGAGATTGACATTTTATTTTTACTCGAGTGACAAAATGCCCAGTTCTGGAAACGGCCTCCTTATTGTCAACATGTGCCTCGGGTAAGCTTCCCGTGCGTTCGGGTGCACTCGGCAAACGGACACACTTGATTGCCATGTTCGTTAGGAGACAGGAGTGGGAGGGTTAACAGAAAAAGATATACAGTGCAACAGTGCTCAACGAGACATTCTGTGTGTTGGATAATTGATTACAGCACCATATATTTGTTGGTTATACATACTATCTTTGAATTGTTTTGCACCAGGAGTCAGTGCAACAACACTGCAAAAAGTTAATAGGTAACAAACCTATCAACCTTTTATAAAAAACGCCGTGATTTATATTTATTTATTTTTGCAGCCTTGTGATGGAGAATCAAGAAAATAAAAAAGCAAGATTGAATGATAAAGGAAGTGGAAGTAGCAGTAGCCGACCCTTTCAAGACATATGGACTGAGATGTACAGGATTGTTGACAGAAACAACAGATCATTGTGCATACTGTGTAATGAAACGGTAGTAAGCAGAACGTGGAATGTAAAGAGACATTTTGAAACTAATCATTGTCAGCTCTTGAAAAAAAGTATCGATGAAAGGAAGGAATACATTTCTAAGCAGCTATACCTCTATAAAAGTCAATCAAATTCCATCATTAAATTTGTAAGATGCTCTACAAATTTAACATCAGCAAGTTACTGTATGGCTCACTCCATAGCTCAGCATGGAAAAGCCCTCAGTGACGGAGGATTTATTAAGAAAACATTTCTAAGATGTGCACCTGCTCTGTTTCACGATATGAAAAATAAAGATGATATTATTAAAAGAATTTCTGAGTTACCACTCAGTAGAAATACTATCAAAGACAGAATAATAGATCTTAACAAAAACGTACAACATCAATTAAAAAAAGACTTAAATAGTTGTAAATATTTTTTGATTTCTCTTGATGAAACTACTGATGTCACATCAAATGCTTGGTTGGCCATTATTGCTAGATATTCTGATGGTCTCACTATGAGAGAAGAGTTGATAAAGTTAGAATCAGTGCCAATAAGTACATCAGGAAACGAAATATGTAAGGTTGTTATAAAAACATTCAGTGACCTAAACATTGATATCTCTAAAATTGTGTCAGTCATGACAGATGGGGCACCAAATATGGTGGGAAAAAATGTGGGATTCCTGAAATTGTTTATGGAAGCTATTAGACATCCACTTGTACCTTTTCATTGCATTACCCATCAGGAGGTGCTGTGTGCCAAATCGGGATTCTCAGAATTGAATGATTTAATGTCAGTTGTAACAAAAATTGTGAATTTTATAGCTTCTTGACCCCTTTACAAGAGAGAATTTTCTGCACTTTTACAGGAAGTTGATTCAACCTACAGTGGACTACTGATGTTCTATAATGTGAGAGGCTGAGTCGAGATAAAGTACTTGAGCGATTTGTGGAATGCTTTGAAGAAATTACGGTATTTATTGAGAATAAGGATCTGGCAAACTTTCCTCCGATCAATGATCATAAGTGGGTCAGCAATTTGATGTGTTTTACAGATCTCTCTGTTCATATGAATGAACTGAACTTAAAATTACAAGGTTTTGGCAAAAGTATTGATGTTATGTTTGGATACATCAAATCTTTTGAAAGTAAACTTAAAATTTTCAAGCGAGATATTGAAACTAAAACTTATAAGTATTTTCTTCGGATTAAAAAGTATTTTGAGAAGGCCACTACAAAGAGTGTAATGGAGTCCATACTTATGTACCAGAATGTAGTAAACTCGCTATTTGAACAGTTCAGCGAAAGATTCGACCAATTTAGAAGTTTAGAAGAGACCATTAAAATAATTAAGTATCCGGATGTAGTTGTGTACAGTACTTTGGAATTAAAGGATTTCCAATGGATGCAAATTGATGATTTAGAGATGCAACTTGCAGATTTTCAAGGTAGCATTTGGACTCATGTGTTTGTCGACTTAAGGTGGAAACTTGAAAATCTGGAACGAAATCGTTTGAATAATGAAGAAGAGTGCAACTACAAACAAGAAATTTGAGAGCTTGGAACAGAGTACCTGACACTTTTAGCAACATAAAAAATCTAGCAATGGCTTTGCTAACAATTTTTTCATCAACATATTTTTGTGAGATTTTGTTCTCAACATTAAATAATATTAAAACGAACAAAAGAAACCGGCTAACAGATGAAGTTAGTGGCACTTGCTTAGCCTTGAAGTGCACCAAGTATGAACCTGCAATTGAAGAATTAACAGACAAACTTCAGCACCAAAAAAGTCACTAATTTCTAGTTTTCATACCATTTGATTATCATTGTTTTTATTTATTTTCCTAAATGCACATTGTTTTTCTGTTTTTGTTCATTTTATACATATTTTTTGGTTGATTTTTCTTTGTTAAATGGCATTTAAATATATAAAGTAAATATCAAAAATATAAATCTTTTTTTTACTATGGTTGCAAATATATAAAAAACATTATGAATATTTCTATATGTGACACAGCACCAGAGTTAAGTTAGGGTTTTTCAAAATTTTGACACTCCGGGCTCAAAAGGTTCGCCATCACTGGCTTAGGAGGAGCACAGACTGGAGCCAGGGGACAGAGAAGCAAGGTCAGGAAGGGGGCGGGTCCCGAAAGGGGGCGGAGCTGGAAAGGCCGGCGCGAGGCGAGGGCGGGGCCATGGGTGGGCGGAAGCGGGAGTCAGGGGCGGGTCGGGGCGAGGCGGAGGGGCGGGGCCCACAGTCGGCGCCTGCGCACCGGGTCGGGGCGGGGCTGCGCACGCGCGGTTCGGGGCCCGGAGGGCGGAGTCCGGCGGGCGCGGCCGAGAGCGGGCGGAGGCTCCGGGTCCGGCGCTCCCTCCGGCCACTGACGCGATGCCGGCTGCAGCGGGCGGGGTGGGTGGCCCGGCGGGGATGTGACAGGCGGCCCTTCGCTCACCTGCGGTCCTTGCGCCTCAGGTTCCGGGCGAGCCGCCCTGGGCCGCGCCGAGGAGGCAGAGCGGATCCGAGCGGTAAGGGCCGGATGGTGGCGGGGCCGGGTCCTGGCGGGATGCTGACCGCGGCCGCTCGGGCAGGGGGTGCGGTCCGGCTGCTCAGGCCCGGGCGCTGGGACGAGGCAGTGGCGCCCTTCTGACTCCTGCCTCCGGGGTGACCCTCGCGAGCCTCCTAAGGCGAGACGGGCGTGGGCCGGGCCGGACGTCCCCCATCCCCCTGAAACCCCGTCCCCCGAACGCTCGCCCCGGTCCCCCTGAAACCCCGTCTCCTCGTTCCCCACCTCCCAACCCCCCCGGTTCCCCTCCTTCCTCCCCATCTCGCAGTCTCCGTCCTCCCTTCTCCCGCCCGCTGCCCCCCGTCCTCTCCCGTCCCCCTGACCCCTCCGTCTCCCTGTTCCCCCGGCCTCTCGACTCCCCGAACCCCCACCCCCCTCCCCGTCTCCGCCCCGCGGGGCTGCCGCCTTCCTCCCAGGAAAAAGCAGGGCGAGGCTCAGACGCCCGGGGTTTAGTCAGGGTGCTGTGCGGTTGCAGGGGAGGTACGGGGTGCCCCAGGGACTTTTTTTCGGGGGGGAGGGGGTTATTACTGGGACACAACAAAGACACACCCAAGCACGTCTTAAGATGAACTTCGTGGACCACTCGGTTCCGGGGCTCAGGTGCTGGCTCTCCCAGGTGGAGACCCGCTGGCCTGGGCGTCGCCGGGCGCCTCCTGCGCGGACGCCGCCTCCCGTGAGCTGGTCCCGGGCTGCCCTGGAGCTGCGCCCCGGACTGCGGACCCGTCCGTCAGGCCCGCGCCCCGCCAGGCCCGGCCCGCGGGGGGAGGGACCGAGGCCGACCCCGTGGTCCCGATGGGCGCGAGGTGTGCACCCGCTGGGGATGGATTGCTGTAGGCTCTCCAAACAGCCATTGGAAATACATTCCTTTTTTTCTTGAACATTAAAATATTATGGAACCCATTACTTTTGCCATTTAAAAAATCTTCCTTTAATTTAAGGAGTTTAGAGGTGACAGCTCTTCTTTAACCAAAAGAAATTTAAAATACTCTCCTCTTGCAAAAGATAGGCACACCGCATGTCTTCCCTGAACCTGATGCGTGGTAGGATGTAAACACTTCTGAATGTTTTCCTTGAAGTCGGCCGTCTCAGCTGTTATTCCTGCTAGCCTCTCCTAATCTCTCATAGAGATGTTTAGTATTTTCTTATTTGGTTGCTTTCTTTAGTGCGCTCAACAAAATTGACTTCAAATAAACACTTTCTTGCACCGTTTAGCTGTCATTTCAGTTCACGGCTGTCTTAATGTGCCATCGAAGGACCTGCCCGGCCCTGAGGGAGTGAACTGTTCCTAAATAAGTACCGTGACTCTCTCTGACCCAGACCTGCCTCTCTGTCTGTCACCTGGACCCCGCCTTGGACTGTGGAGGGAGAGGGGACTTTGAGTCCGTGTGTGAAGTCTGTCCGTGACTCTCCATAATCTGTAGTTGAGAAAGTCAAAGTCCTTCACAGCTCTGCACTCATGTATGTTTCTAATTTCATCTTCTACCATTTTGCCTGCCTTCTTCATACAAAGACTACTTAGAGGTCTCTGAAGAGGACATCTTCCGTTGTAGAATTCTTCTCTACCTAGTAAACAACTTGCCTTTTAAGACCTAACCAAAATACTACTTCTGAATCTTGTCCAGACATTTTATCCTACTTGTCTCAGCTGATCCAGGAGTGCATTGCACATTATGCAGTTAGCATCTGTCAGCCGGTAGTTAATGATTTGTTTGTCTCCACCAGGGAGCTTTGTAACTGGAGCACATACTGTGTGGCACAGGTGTTCAAAACTATTTATTGAATAAATGATTGAGGAATGCTTTCAATCTTGAATATAGCTTTAAGATAGGCAAAATGTGTTAACTACTCTCTATATCAGAAAACTTAGAAAAGAGAAATGCACAAACGAGGTACTTTTAAATTTCCAAGAATAAAGTCAAAATTATTGTTTCTTGTTAGGAAGTAAACCCCAGTTATGATAAGCCACCAATGTGTTTTATGACACACGAATTAAAGGACATGGTCAGTAGGACTGCTGCTGCTTTGATTTTAGGACTTCAAGGCAGAGTGATTTGCCCAAGGTCATGCAGGTAGGAAGGGTCAGACAGAGCTGGGATCCAATCCAGGCTTTTGACCATCTGTGTATTTTACCTTTGCTCCTAGTTTCCTAATTCTAAATCTTAACAATTATTTTACAATCTGAGTGAGGCATTTTGGGTGGGGAGATCAGTATTGAATTTGAAAGAATTAAGAGATTATTTGATTTAACTTTTAAATTTTTATGCCAAAGGACAAGTTGCTTGAGGTTACTTAGTCACCTGTATAACATATCTCCTGACCACATGCTTGTGTATTTTTTTAAAATAGATTTTTATTGATTTCAGACAGGAAGGAAGGAGAGAGAGAAACATCCTATAAAATAAAAGGCTAATATGCAAATCAACCAAATGGCCGAACGACTGGTCTCTATGACGTGCACTGACCACCAGGGGGCAGACAGTCAAGGCAGGAGCTGCTCCCTGGTGGTCAGTATGCTCCCACAATGGAAGCGCCGCTCAGCCAGAAGCCCTGAGCTGGTCTCATGACTGGCAAGTGCAGTGGCGGGGGGTGGGAGCCTCTCCCAACTCCACCGCAATGCTAAGGATGTCCCAGTGACGGCTTAGGCCTGGTCCCGAGGTGGGCCTAAGCCTTCAGTCAGACATCCCCCAAGGGCTCCTGGACTGTGAGAGGGCGCAAGCCGGGTTGATGGAACGATCCCCCCCCAGCCCCCCTCCCTCCCCGCCCCTGGCTCCAAGTGCATGAATTTCATGCACTGTGCCTCTAGTCTATGATGAGAGAGAATCATGGATTGGCTGCTTCCTTTACGCTCCCTACCGGGGATTGAGCTCGCAACCTGGGCATGTGCCCTGACTGGGAATAGAACCGTGACCTCCTGGTTCATAGGTCAATGCTCAACCACTGCGCCAGGCCAGCCGGGCTGCTTGTGTGTTTTTCATTACTCCATGGTGCTTTTAGAAGAAAATGAAGAAGTTTCCAGTTTTCAGAGGGAGAGCAAATAGTCTTACAATTTCTTCCTCCTTGAATGCTTTAGCTCTTGAGTGGCTAGGAAACATGGAATTCATTTGGGGATATAGGAGAAGCCTAGGCTTCACCATTACATTTGGTCGGATAGTTTTTAACCCACTCTCCAATTGCCCCATAATAAGTGGCTTCTGCTCACCATATGGAGATCCCACATATAGTTACATTTTGATGGTAAAATGAGATTTTAATATAACAAGGTTCCAGCTGGCTAATAGCATTGGGTAAACTGACATGTATCATTACTCTGTATGTGAGAAGAATTTATCCAATTACTCTGTTATAGGTTTTTTTGGAAAAAATGATAATTGTGGTTTTATGCTTCAGAAGAGTCAATTTTAAAATATGTACTTACTGTGGTGGATCTGATCAATTCTAACAGGCTTTTTATTTTACAAATAATTTAATGGTCAAAGAAATAAGAAATTTTTTTTAATTTTTCTTATTTATTTCTCACCATATATACATGATTTTATACAACAATCAAAGCATAAATATAATATTTAATTTTGCTTTCATAGTTAATGTTTTCTTTTTGCTAAAGTTTTTGTACCTGTAAATTATTATATAATGCTAGAGGCCTGGCACATGGGATTCATGCACTGGTGGGGTACGTGGTCTGTGGGGATCGGGCTGCTGTGGGAGCGTTGCTCATCCAGGTCGGCTGAGCAGCTATGGACCATCCCTCTGAGTGACTGCTCCCTGGTCCGGCATCTTCCGTGGAGCTGGGGCACGCTTCTCCAGGGGACCCGGTTGGGGCCAGGCGGAGGGACAGGAGTACCAAGAGGCGGCAGAGTAGGCTTCAGTCCCACGGTGGCCATGAACCCACCTTGCAGGCTCCGGGGTCAGCTCTGCGTAGCCTGCGAGCTTCCCGAGGAGGCGGCAAGGAGCAGGAGGAGGAGCCTGGGGCAAGGAGGCGATCATCGCAGCCCAGGTTGCAGCCCAGGTTCCTGCCCATGGCCCCACCCCCCCCCACCCCCATTCACAGCAGGAGCAGCCGCTCATCCTGGTCAGCCAGCAGCACTCCCACTGTGGTTGTGCACTGACCACCAGGAGGCAGCTCCTGTGTTGAGCGTCTGCCCCCTGGTGGTCAGTGCGCATCATAGTGACTGGTCAACCAGTTGTTCTGGTTGTTCTGCTGTTTGGTTGTTGGGTTTTTATTACATAGGATTACTAGTTGAGTTGCTTAGCTTTAATAATTGTACATCTAAGTTGCCTCCCATTTGGCAAGTAATGCAGTTAATATATAGCTGTTCTTTGTTTTCTTCTTTCATTAGGCTAAAGTTCCAGGAGAGGGATTACAAGGTCAGAGAGTGTGAAGGTTTTTTGTCACTTAAAAAAAAAATGTTTTTATTAATTTTAGAGGAGAGGAAGAGGGATAGAAAGATAGAAACATCATTGATGAGAGACAAACATCCATTGGCTGCCTCCTGCAGGCCCCTACTGGGATGGAGGCCGAAATCCTGGCATGTGCCCTCACTGGAAATCCAGCCAGTGCCCTTTTGGTTCATGGGTCACTGCTCAACCACTGAGCAACATTGGCCGGGTGGTTTTTGTCACTTTTGAAAATATTACCAGGTTTATTTCTAAAAGGTTGTATTGATTTATACTGCTTCCTGCATTTTGGTTGACAGTTTTACAATACTTTTAAAGTCTTTTGTTTTTTAAAGGTTGGTATTTTACAAATGGGTATAAGGGTACCTACTATCTAACATACAATCTGCAATAGAAAAGCAAATGCAGTATTTTCCTACTTTTATTTTCTCCTTTGTTGGAATTGTTTGACCTTTGTGCATAAATTTACGGGGATCTTACTAATTTTCATTAGCACTTAATTTTTAAAACTGCAAAGTATACAGCCATAAACAACAAAAACAAAACAAGAGATTAATGTATTTATGATGTTAGGTGCTAATTAAAATTACTGACTTTTTAATTGAATTTATTGGGGTGACATTGTGATAAAATTATACAAGTTTCAGGTATATAGTTCTTTTTTTTTTTAATTAAATCTTTATTGTTCAGATTATTACATTTGTTCCTCTTTTTTCCCCCCATAACTCCCCTCCTCCCAGT